CTTTACGCCTGCAGGTCACAAGCTGTACAGTGGTGAGACTTACTCATGTCAACCAGGGGATATGTAAGAATTAATCCATCTTCTATAAACTAAAGACTTGCAAATACGGTGTGAGCAGTTCAGGAAAAGAAAATATTTAAGATTGCTGCAGCCTTGCTTTTTCACAAAGCAGAGCCATTTAATTCAGAACACTTCTGAAATTTTATTTTTTTCCATGAATTACCTCAGAAGATTTTTAGAACTGCCTAGGAAGCTTCCCTTACTACCTCAGAAATTACTGAGAGAAGCAGCCCATCCTAAAGAACTAAAGCAGATAAGTTTACCCCATTTTCTACTCTAAAAACATGCATTAAAACATTTCTGTTAAAATAAATAAAGTTCTGGGGACCAGTGTTTCAAGGAACCATCTATGTTTATGAGACAGACTGCTTTCACGTGCTGAGGTAGGCTACAGAGGACTACAGGATTGAAGCGATTTGAGGAAGGGCTTCCATAAACAATCCAAGATGGTTATTTCTAAACCCTTAACACTCTTGATTCTTTTGCCATGAGTATTTCTGTCTCAGATTCATAAAGCAAAGTTTGAAAACCAGCTCTGAAATGAGAAAAAAAAACCAAAAACACTTAAACTGCAAAACATGTTTGGACAGGAAAAATAGATTACAGAATGGTTTGGGTTGGAAGGGACCTTTAAAGGTTATATAGTCCAACCCCCCTGCAATGAGCAGGGACATCTTCAACTAGATCAGGATGCTCAGCACCCCATCCAATCTGACCTGGAATGTTTCCAGGGATGAGGCATCTACCACTTCTCTGGGCAACCTCTGCCAGTGTTTCACCACCCTCATCATAAAAAATTTCTTCCCTATATCTAGTCTAAATCTTCCCTCTTTTAGTTTAAAACCATTACCCCTTGTCCTATCACAGCAGGGCCTATTAAAAAGTTTGTCCCCATCTTTCCTGTAAGCCCCCTTTAAGTACTGAAAGGCTGCAATAAGGTCTCCCTGGAGCCTTCTCTTCTCCATGCTGAACAGACCCAACTCTCTCAGCCTGTCCTCATAGCAGAGGTGTTCCATCCCTCTGATCACATTCGTGGCCTTCCTCTGGAGCTGCTCCAACAGGTCCATGTCTTTCCTGGGCTGAGGACCCAGAGCTGGACATGGTACTCCAGGTGGGGTCTCACCAGAGCAGAGTAAAGGGGCAAAATCACCTCCCTCGACCTGCTGGCCATGTTTCTTTTGATGCAGCCCAGGATACAGTTGGCTTTCTGGGCTGTGAACGCACAGGGCCTGCTCATGTCCACCAGTTCCCCCAGGTCCTTCTTGGCAGAGCTACTCTCAATCCCTTCATCCCCCAGCCTGTGTTGATACTGGGGGTTGCCCTGATTCAAGTCCAGGACCCAGCACTTGGCCTTGTTGAACCTCATAAGGTTCACATGGGCCCACTTCTCAAGCCTGTCCGGGTCCTTTTGGACAGCATCCCTTCCCTCAGGTGTCAACCGTACCACTCAGCTGGGTGTCATTGACAAACTTGTTGAGGGTACACTCGATCCCACTGTCTATGTCAATGAAGATATGAAACAGTATTGGTCCCAACACAGACGCCTGCATTCTTAGGATATTCTTCCTGATTTGACATTGGACACATACCTCAACGTTTGATCTAACTTTCTCTTAAATGGGTCGAAGGATAGTTTAAGCCCTATTACTGGGTACTGTGTAGCTTCCTCATTGTCACTTTTCTTGGAAATCATACTTACATTACTTCCTTTGATCCCCAGAAATACATTTCCATGACTACTTTGTTTTGTATAGCAACCACTAAGCAACACAACACAGGCACAAATTCAGCAGGCTAAGGCTTTGTTAGTGAACTACACAATCTCACTATGATAAAATCCCTCTTTTGGGAAAGAGGAAACACGACATCAGTTGTTACCTGGGAATGTTGTAACCTGTTATATCTATGCATTTCCATATGCACACATGCATGTGCCTTACAGTAACAGTGTCCTTCACCAAAGCACCCTTTTTGAAGAATATTTCCTATTGATGGGTAAGAAGGACAGGAGGCTGATAACTGAATTAAAAATTAATCTTAAATGTTAGTTTTATCATTCTATAAGACTTTGTTAGATACAGAGTTAAGAAAAGAACAGAGGCCTAATAGTTGCAGATAATTCCTAAATATTTCTGAAGCTGTATCCATGTAAACTTTTGTTTGCATAAGTCCTTGCTGCTAGTCAGAATCTACATCTATCATCTTGCTCTGGAGCTATATCCTTCTCTCAAGTAAAATCACCTGCTCTTTCAAGACTACTGATGCTGTATCTTATACAGACATTTGATTTTAAAGATTTCTACAGGTATCCTGACACTACACAACTAGTGCATGATACACTATAGTCACCAGTGATTTATCAGCATGGATTAAAAATGCTGTTGAATAATTAAGGGGATATTCTTTCCACCCCAAACCCCATAGCTTTTTTCCCCCCTCATCCCTCAATAACCTCCATACAATTAAAGAGAGCCCCTCTGACCCCAGTAGTTCTACCTAAAAAGTCTAGTAATTTTAGAAAAGATGAGCATTCCAAGACTCAAACTAAATGCATAAAAAGTATTTTGACAATTTATCTGAACCTAAGCAAGTAGAAGAAAGCTCCCGCTTCAACACTTTTAACTCAAATGCATGTGAAAACACCTAATATAATAACCCAGATGCAAATTCAGAGACTTACAGTGTCCAGCTCTTTACATCCAGTGTATTTCCATAAATGCAGAAATTCAACAGTATTACTTCCTTAGCCCTTAGTTTCCCAAAGAAGCCAGTAAAAATGTTCTCCATTGCCACCAAATAAGATAACATTTGTAGACACAGGGCCACAGACTACTTCTGCTTAAAATGTAATCTAATTTTAGCTGAATTACTTCAAATCTTGTTCTTCCTGTTTAGTTTCTGTGTCTTCAGGCACTCACAAAACTATTTCTTCCAAGTCCTTAAGTCAAGCACTAAAGGCTTGCTAGATTTACCCTCGTTTTACATACTTGTTCTTTCTTCAAATGTTGCCCATTCCACATGATTTCTTTCCTTGTTCTCGCATTTTTTTTGGTACTGGACAGTCCAGAATCAGCATTAAAATGAAAACAGTCTCTCCTTTTGTCCACAAAGTTTTATCTTTCACCTACCATGACTACTATTTCTCCTTATTTTTACTGGCTCAAAGATTAAGATTTTGCTTCTTCAGCTGTAACTATTCTGGATCCTGCCACTTCTTTTAGTGTTGACTGAGAATAACCTTAAGGAATGCATTTCATTTTCACTAAAAAGGATTACATCCTGAAGCTTTTTCATCAGAATTAAAAAGCTAGTACATACACACATCACTCACCCCTATCATCAGGAGAGGATTCTTTTTGAACTTTTTTGACAAAGAAGTTTATGCTCATTTTCCTCCTGATAATCAGAGATGTATTAGGTACTGGACAACTCATTCACTAGTGCATATTTTTTGACATGGAGAGAGGTGCTAATGTTAGAATCAGGTAGTAACAAACCAGAATGAAGTCACTGAAAGCTGTTTGTTACTCTAACTATAGCTTTTCAAAAAATACTAAATATTTCAAAACTAGAAAGCATTACCACTAAAAGAACACCTCATCAGTTGTCCACCATCCTGCATTTAGGACAATTGTGGAAAAGAGTAAGGGCAGATGACATAGTGTGAGTAGCTGAACTGCATCATGCTATTATAAAAAAGGTTAGTAAGTGGGGATGTATGAACAGAGTATGGGCCTGAAAGACACGTGAAGCAATCTTTCTACTTTACACAGCACTAACATCTCAGCTGAAGCTCTTTGTCCACCACTGTACTGCATCTGGCTAGGATGGAGTTAGCTTTCTTTACAGCAGCCTGTATGGTGCCGTGATTTGGATTTGTGTCTAAAACAGTGCTGATAACATACCAATGTTTTAGCTACTGCTGAGCAGTGCTTACACAGTGTCAAGGTTTTCTCTTTCTTACTCTGCCCCCGACAGCGATTAGGCTTTGGGTAGGCAAAATATGGTGGGCAGGGGGTTGGGGTGGACACAGCCAGGACAGCGGAACAGAACTGGCTTAAGGGATATTTCATATTATACAACAACATGCTCAACAATAAAAACTAAAGGGTAGTCTTTCCAAAGTAGCTGTTGCTAGAAGACTGGCTGGGAATCAATCTGCTTTTGGGAAGTTGTGACTGCCTTTCC